GTGTTGGAAGTTATTGTACTCATAAGGTAGCATTATTGGTGCACAATTCGCTAAATGGAAAGCGGTAGTACTATTCAGTCTTACAGCATTATTCACAGTTTTTTAAAGAAGAGCGTTCTAAATAATGATATTGGTATGGGCTTTTCCCTACCTTCATGATTCACAGGTCACTGGAAGCCACGTGCTTTAAAGTTACAAGATAGACTAGTATGTACTACAGAAGCTGGCAGCTGCAGCTGCCAACAGCTAAGGTTTTCTAAGATCCCTAATTATGGCCCCATGGGTAGTAAGAATACAGAGTAAATAAGGTGTCTTGACCTGGGTAAAACATTATTTGTGAGGTTGCTGACTGTCATAGACCGGCGCTGTCCATCTGGACAACTGCTGCCCATCCCTGGATACCACATTTGAGTTCACAGTCAAGAAGCTCCTAATGTGTGAAATTCTTTGTTGGTGCCACACTCGGGACCTGGAACAGGGATTAAAAGAAAGCATGGTTTTTCCCATTATATTGAAACTCTGTCCTGAGGGACAGTGACCAGCTGACTACAGCCTGGTGCGCTCAGTACCCTTCAGCGTGTGGAGTAATCAGGGGTGAAGGTTGAAGACGATGGAGAACAAATGTGTAGGACAGCGTGGGTGAGGGCAGGGGAGGCAGGGCTGAGTGAAGGGCCACCACGTAGTGGTATGAAACTATAGGACCCCAGAGAGAATCTGGACTCTCTGAGAAGGTACTTGGGGTTGGGAGCAAGGTTGGTCCTGAGGGTTAAGTGTTAGTGAAGAGGGAAAAAGGTGTTTTAAAGCACATGGCCAGGCGCCGCTCTAGAAGCTGTTCTACGCACAACCTTGGCCTCAGGCTGGCTCCTTTCTCCCAAGGGCTGTGCATGATTCGACAGCTACAAATAATTATCTGAAAGGCAGTCATAAGATGTTATTGTAAAGTGAATGAATGCAGGGGTAGTTTGAAATTCACAGTTTGAAAGGATAACTGCCTATATTAATACAGCGGTTCTGCAAATGAACATTTTACTGTTAGTTGGATTTAACGTTATAATACAGCCACATTCACTTATATGGTCTATCCATAGACTTTCTTGAGTGAGCAGGAGAGAAAGCAGGCATGTTGGGAACTGCACAGAGGTTTAAATATTCCCACGGGGGCGTGGCAGGCACAAGGATATCAGCAGAAAGGAAAAGGTAACTGCTGCACCAAATAATGAAAGCCTTCTCTGACTAACATTTTTTCAATTTAGGTACTCTGACTTTTGAGAGGAAAGATTGCAGATATAGGTTTATGAAATTCCCAATATGTGAGTATAAAATATTAAATTTCCACTATGTTAGTATAAAATTATTAAACTGTGGATTTCATGGCTTTCCTCAACCCCTTTGTCACTTTAATTTCTTCCCTTCTTCCTACTCTGTCAAGAGAAAGGATATCAGCTTCTCAGGTAAGTCTTGAGAAAAAAAGCAATTAGAATGGAATAAAAACCATGGGGACCTAGCGGATGAGAGAGTAATATCAACATATAAGCGTGAGAGCAATCTGGGGGCTTGGGGATGCTGCAGAAAAGGAGAGTGCAGAAAAGGAGAATTTAATAAGAGTTGCTGTGGATTATACACCTGGACTCCTTTCCAGGTTTCAGGGATATATAGGAGAGAAGATGAAAATTCTACAATTGTCATGTATCCTTAATCCAGCATCGCTCGGGGGCAGACAATAGGGCTCTGCAATTTGGGGACAGAGGAGCAGTGTCACAGTTTTATGAGCGTGAAACAAACCAGGCGCTCTTTAGCTAATACTGCCATCCTTTAATCTACCATGTCTTTGTCCCTAAGCAGTCTCCGTTGTCTGGAATCAGGAACAGGGTGGGTGGGAGCTGTTGGAGGTACGAGGGTGGAGCAGGGGAACCCATCCAGGTGGCTGTGAAAATGAGAATGCTGGTAAAGGTTCAGGCGTGTGAACCTTAGAACACTGATTCTTTCTGTTTCGCAAACAAAAGTATATAATATTAACGGCAAAAGCAGTAGCACATACGTCTTTGTCACAAACAAGGATAGCAAATCAGTCACAAAAACTTCCATGTGGTTTCCCAGAGATCAGACTTTAGAATTGAATCAAGCTGTTGAGTTTATATAAAGCACCCAGCTTTTGGCCTGCGTGTGGCCGTGCTGTCACAGTTTGCCACTCATGGGCTTGTTCTGCTGGACTGCAGCCCAGCCCACTAAATCTCAGACCTCTGGCCCTCAGATACACCCTCTCATCCTGACTTGACCTCTGGATCCTTTTTATGTTGTGACATTTTCTCATCTTACATTCTTCATCAATATTTTCCAAATAGGATGATCATTCGTAATCTTGAAAAAGCAGAGAAGAAATTGCTTTATCTGCTTTTCTTCAGGAAGGTTCTTACTGCCTGCGTCTATACCTACAGCACAGTCAGACAGCTTTGTTGATGGGCACTGGATGTGGAGGGGCCCAGATTAAAGGATTTCAGTTTATGGATGCCAGTATCCTCCTCCATTAATGCACACTCACTACCAGCTCTTTCTCCTCACTATTATAGCGTGACCAAGTCCCCTCAATAACACATATAAGAACAAAACCAAGAAACATTTCCTCTAACTACTTTTCTTTCTCATCAGAGACAGGTTTCTTGAAAAAAAAATTGGTACTATGTACCGCTCCTTTCTCTGACCTCATATTCACTCTGCCTCTATGTTAATCTGCCTTACACAACTTTATTGAAAATGTTGTACCAAAGGTTATGCTTGAACACCGGAATGTCTCATTGCTGAATCCAATGGAGACATTTCATATTTTATTTTACCTCAATTTTGTGAAGCCTTGGACATTACACTCCTTGAAACTCTCTCTTCTTTTGCCTTCTACAATACTGCTCTTCTCTGTTTTCCTGATTACCTGTTTGGCTTCTCTTTTTCAGCTTCCTTTGGGTAATTTTTGTTTAGTTCATGTCTTAAATTAGAGGGTTTCATCCTTTTCCACTTAATCTACCATTTCACTATTAATTTGCATTCTTTATATTCTCTGCGGGCTATGTTAACTACATTTAAAGCTTCAGCTTCGATCTATATGCTGATGATCTTCAAACCTACATCTCTAGCACAGATCTTTTTACCTGAGGTTCAACCTACAAATATAACCGTCTAGATGTCCCACGAGCACCTGCAACTCAGCACGCTCAAAATGGTCTCATTTCTATTCCAAAGACTTGTCTATTTCTGTGGAAATACCATCAGCCACCTTGTATAAGACAGAAACTTGACAAACATCTTTGATTTTTTTTCTCCTCCTTCCTCCATATTCAATCAGTGACTAAGATATGTTGGTTTTCCTAATGATAAATGTTATTATTATCACTTATTTATCAGGAAATAATAATAATAAAATTCTCTTATCTCCAGACCCCCAAGCTCATTCTCATATCAGAAGTCAAGCCCTGATCTTTTCTAGATTTAGTTGCTGAAAATGTAAAACCGTCTCTGTTTCCAGTCTTGTTCCTTGTTTTGCACACACAGTGTAAATCATCCCTAGAGCGATCTTCCAGAAATGCAAATGTAATCATGCTATTCCCTTGCTTGAAATCCTTCCATGGCTGTCCATTGCTTTCATGATAAACTCCGAAGTGCCTTTCCTTCCTTTACTGCTTCCTGTGTTGGACTTCTTTAGGGAAGATGGGCCAGAGTAATAGTTTAATCTCTAGCTATTTCATGCTTGGCTTCACTTTACTGAGGCTGCCAATTAGTGATTTAGAGGTGAACTCTTAAGTGCTCTGCTGTGAACTGAGATCTGTTTCAAGTAGTCCTTGAAGAGCCTCGGCCCTACTGTCACTGAAAACCTGTGCTGGCTTGAACCTGTGATCTGAAGTTGAATGTCTGAATAGCACCCGGCCAACCCCTGAACGAAGAAAGTGAGCTTTGGATATGCTCTGGTTATTTCTAAGTCCAATTGATTCTAAATAAAGAATTAGGTTTTTAACTTAATGATAATTAAATGTAATATTTTCTGACATAGATGATAGTCCTTTTCCCCCCTACTCTTCCTTTTATAATTGCTCTTCACAGGGAGGTAAGTAGATCTTCTCAAGTCTACTGACTTTTACAAAATGGTGTATGAGTGCCACCATTTTCTTGTCTTGCTACCTGTTCTTTTCTGGTTTTAGGAATGGAGAATAACAACAACTAGCTGTGATCATATCAGTAGGAAATATCCTTCCTCTGGGCTGATTCACAAATTGCCCCTGTCTGGCTTGCCATTTCAAATTGAGGAACAGAACATAGAGTAGGCAAGAAAATTAAAGGGGCTGCACACACACACACACACACACACACACACACACACACACACACAGTCAAACATATACACACACACACTCTACTTCTAAAAGTAGCCGGGCACGGTGGCTCAAGCCTGTAATCCCAGCACTTTGGGAGGCCGAGGCGGGTGGATCACGAGGTCAAGAGATCGAGACCATCTTGGTCAACATGGTGAAACCCCGTCTCTACTAAAAATACAAAAAATTAGCTGGGCATGGTGGCACGTGCCTGTAATCCCAGCTACTCAGGAGGTTGAGGCAGGAGAATTGCCTGAG